CTTCACGGGCTTGGAGCCTTCATTGATATCAATTATGTGCTCAGCCAACTCTCTTGGGACACCTGGCATGTCGGCCGGCTTCCAAGCGAAGATATCTTTGTTGTCCCAAAGAAAGTTGGTGAGCGTGAGTTCCTATTTTGCCGAGAGGTGGGCGCTGATGGTTGCTGTTTTGGAGGGATCGCTAGTGCCCAGGTCGATTTGCTTGACGTCGGCTTCTTTTGGTGGTGCGAGGATGATGGGCTTTTTAGTCGGTATCTCTAGTTCTTCTTGGCTTATTTCTACGGCAATAGTGGCTATTTCTTTTCTACCATTGTCGGCTTGTGCTTTGGCTGCAATTTGGATTGCCTGAACATCACAGTCGAAAGCGCGCTTCAAATCACTTCAAAGAGAAAGGACACCATTAGGTCCTGGCATCTTAAGCAATAGGTACGGATAATGCGGTATTGCCATGAATTTTGCTAGTGCTGGGCGCCCGAGGATTGCGTGGTATGATGAATCGAAGTCTACAACTTCAAACTTGATAAACTATGTATGGTAGTTCGAGGGAGTCCCAAAAGTAACTGTAGAGTAATTTGTCCAAGTGGCATGGCTGCCTTGCTCGGGTACTATGCCATAAAAAGGTGTACTTGTTGGTGTAATCATCCCGGTGAGTTGTAGTCCCATCTTTCTTAATGTTTTCTGAAAAGATGATGTTGAGTCCAGCTCCCCCATCGATTAGTACTTTGGTGATAGTCATACCGGCAATAGTTGGATCTAAGACCAGTGGGTAATGGCTTGCATTTCCTACGCTAGTCCATTGGTCTTCTCTTGAAAACTGGATTGGATACTGTGACCAATTGAGATATCTTGGAGTAGCAGGCTCCGCTGCCATGATGGCTCATAGAGCTAACTTTTCTTGGTGCTTGCTTCTGGAATCTGGGGCCCCGGCGAAGATCACTGCTACCGTCCCCTAGATTTTTGGAATCCCTTGTCTTCATGGTTGTCTTCTTCTTTTTTCTAATTGTCTTCTTTATTGTTCCCCTTACTATCTTTCCTTGTGTATCGTTCGTTGAAGGTGTAGCAATTTCCGATGGTGTGCTTTCCATTGGGGTGCAAGATGCAACGCATGTTTTCAATGTCGTCATACCTTCTGGGTTTTGAAAACTTCTTTGATTTGTCAGCCATTGCTACTGTGTTGTCTGGTCCACGTTTTCTTTCCTGATGTCTGTTGTTTCGATGATTTTGTCTGTCCGGGTTGTCTCGGTTGCTTCTTTTCGGGAACCTTTCTCGCGTCTTCTCCTCTGCAGTAATCATCTTTTCTACTATCCGTCTGAATTCTTCATTGTTTCTTGGGTTCTCTTTGTAGAAATCCTGAAATTGCCACCTAGCCATGATTCCGTGAGAGAAAGCTTCGATTACTTCTCGTTCGGTGATGTTATGTACTTGGGCACGTAATTCGCCAAATCATCGATAGTAATCTCTGAGACTTTCACCTCCTTTCTACTTGAGTCCCTTTAGTTCTGCGTGGGTGATTGGGTGCGTAATGATACCCGCAAAATTTTCACAGAAAGCCCTTTGCAAGTCCTCCTAATTTCTGATTGACCCTGGATTTAATTTATCGAACCATTGGAGGGGCATGGTTTCTAGGGCCATGGGAAAGAACAAGGTCTTGATATTGTCGTCTCCTCCAGCCAGTTCAATCGATTGTGAGTAGATTCTGAGCCACTGCCTTGGTTCGGTCTTGCCATCGTATTTAGAGTGGTTGGACGGCTTGAACTTGTGAGGTAGTCGTATTGAAGCAAGTTTGCTTGCAAAACAGGGGAATCTATCTTGCGTCCCGGCTTCTCTGTATTCTGATTCGGCTCCTCCTTCCAGCCAACTGTCGTTTTGGTGAGAGTAGTTCTACGGGGCTGTCCGAATGGGTGCTTCGCTTCTGATCTGCCTTGGTTGTTCGGCTCGGTAGTTTTGACTGTGGTCCCTTCTACTTTCTCTGTTGTGACTTCCACTTGGTCTAAGTCTCTCGAATGCAGACTTTCTTTGATTTTGATCTTCCTTCCTATGAGATGTTGACCTGGTGGGTAGTCTTGAACGGGTTCTTCCATCGTGTCTTTAGGGCTGCTGTCCGGAGAAGTTCCCGGAGCTGTTCCTGCTGTTCACTGGGATGCGAGGTCGTTTCGAGTTCTTCAAGTGCTTCTCGGATCCTGTTATAGGGTGTGTTCGCCGCACGTCTTTCTTCGACTTCTTGTTCTGATTTTCTTCTATTGTACTCGACCAGATCTGACTCATATTTGATCCAAGCTTCCTTGCGCTGCTTAGCACGTCGCTGGCGTCCTTGTTTCAATTTGTTTCTTCTTTCTCTGGCTTGTCTCTGATTCTTAGTCTCACCATCGTAGCCTTGGGCAAAGGGTGATATGTTGGACTCAGACTCATCCGATGACCTGACATCGGGTGCTTCTGGAGGGATCAATGGTGATCGAGGACGGCGAACCATGAGTACTTCCCGTGCGTGAACTGTTCTGTTATTGGCGTTGGTTTCTACACTGTCGGAGTTGCTGATGACTTCAGTAGAGGCTTCAAGGTCGTAGATTGAGTCTCCTTCTTGGTAGTGTAGAATTGCTGTTGTCGTCGTGCCGACCAGTCGGGTACTGCTATCCTCACGAATAGAACCTGGCCAGTGGACAATGCAGTCTTGAGATGTTATAGTTAGCACGAGACCTTCTTGAGCTCCTCTTAGTGGCATTCTAAGCACCGGATCGAGGGATCCTTCGAGTTGTGCCTGGTAAGTCCTTGCCATGTTGTGGAGTCCAAACGAAAAAAGATCCGACTTCTTGGAAAGATTCTGAGTGCACTCCGAGTTGTATTCTTGATATGCCGAGGCCGTGTTCTGGAGCCCCATTAGAAAAGAACTCGGACTCTTGAAAGAACTCGGTCCATACTCCATCTCGGATGTGGAGCCTGAATTCAGGTCGGATGCGCAAAACCGTGGAACCTGAGTTGAATCGGACATCACGAGCTGTGCGAATCTTCCGGTGATTTGATCCATCATAGTCGCCGAAATAGGAAAGTTTTCATGGTGAACCGAATCTTCGAGAAGACGGCTTTGAAGCTTGCCATCGTCACCTGCCTCACAGATCCACGAACCGAAGATGAAGGTTGATCCCGTTGAGAAGATCATGTTGTCGAGGTCCATCGAGCTCTCGGATGCAAATTCGCCGAAAGCCCCTACCTGGCGCGCCAGCTGTCGATGTTTGACCACCGATAGCCTGCCACGGGGGTCCCCGGGGCAGTATGTTCGGGCTTCAGCGTATGCGGAACTCGACGGTGAACGCAAGAGACGGTCGATTTATCCTGGTTCGGGCCCTCGACCGTGATCAAGTAATAGCCCTCCGTCCAGTCGGCGTTAGCCTTGCGTTGGATTGATTGTGTGTTGTTGTCCAAAAGTCCTCCTTTCCGCTAGGAACCCTGCCCTCCTTTATACAGTCAGGATGTCAGAGTCCTAGTCGGTTTACAATGAGAGTTCCTACAGAATAATACTGTTACTAGGATTACATGAAAGGAAACCTAGTTAGACTTGATCTTCTCTCTTCCTTGCGGGGTATCCCGTGGGTCCCGCATCGACACCGTCCCAGTCACCATCTGCAGTGTCGGCGGGACCCGCATAAAGGAGAAGATAGGCCCGACGGTCCTGGAAGCCTTTCTCTCCTTGGCTCTTCTCCCTCTTTCTCTCTGTGTAACCTGCTCTTCCCCTTCGTCTATAAAAGGGGAAGCAGGACACCCCAGGAGGGAGGACGGTGGTTCACCACTCTACACGGCTATAGACATCAAAACACACGCACTAACACGCCTTAGGAGCACACACACATCAGAGACTTGACACGCACTCTAGAGTCTGGACGGGCACTACACCACCACCACTACACTCGCCGCTCACTCGCACTCACGCACACATAGTTAGTTGTATAGGTTAGGGCCTCTAGGGCCATATCCACCGCAAGGCACTGTCGTGACCTCTCCAGCAAGCCACCACCACCACCGTGGGCACCCACCGCCGTCGGTGAACCCGCCACTAGCTACGTTGTGACCCCACGAGCACCATCCACCACTCGTCTGTCAACTCCGAGGCCCGACATCGCCGACGAACCCTTCTTCAACGAGCTCGGCGCCTCCCCACCCCTGTTTCTATCACCGGCACGCCACCGTCCGTTGCTGTTCCCCTCCTCCCCCTCCTTCCTCTCACTGTCTTGTGGGACCAGGGGGTAATAGCGATGTCCTCACCCTTATTCTCTTTTAAATAAATGGGTAAAACTAAGAATACAAGACTAAGCCAATCCTTCAACCTATCACCAACTATTGCCCTCCTAAACGAAATGTTCAGAGGGTTCGAACTTAGCCCTTTGGCTACAATAACATCTTTTCTTCTCATTATTCTGTAAGATCTAGAAATTTTAGTTTCAAAGGTTCATGTACAGTCCAAAGATCCTCTCGAAATACAGTTTGGTTTCCACTATTAACTTTGAGTCTCCTTTTTTTTAATAAAAGATCTTTAGCATCCATAAGTCCTACCCAAAAGTGAGGTCTCACCCGCCGTTTTATCACTTGGGATAAACATTTGTTTCTCAAATAATTCTTTTTCAACACATCTTGCCAGGTCATTCAAAAGTTTGAACAATCATCTACTGAGTAAACAATAGTTCTAACTTCTGAATTCAAGATGCACAAATCCCCATACATCTTGGCTTGGAAAGTATATTCCACTTAGCAAGTCTATACTTCTTTTTGTAATCATCATACTGTTAGCAAAAACTAGATTGATATAATGTAGCCTTTTAGCTGTCAAAACAAAATAATAACTAGTAGAATGGAATACAGATTTCTTGAAAATATAACGTAATTCATAAGAATGGAATACAGTCATTAGCCTTTGCTACCCACGCAAAAATAAAGGAAGAAGAAGAAGAAAAAAACTGATTTCGAACTATTGAACAATGAACACTCCACTGTTTCTCCCTATCCTTCTCTGCTCAGCAGATGGGCAGGGGCTCGCCGTTCCACTCCTTGAGGCACTCGAGCAGCGGGTCGATGTGCTTGCCCTGGTTGATGGCAAGGAGCACCTTGTTGAGCTCCTCGCCGGGAGAGCGCGTCTTCTCGCCGGTGAGGTACACGGCTCCGAGCTCCTCGCGCACGAAGCGGTAGAGCGGGTAGGAGCGGCACTCGGTGATTCTGTTTGGTATCGCTGCCGTGCCGTTCTCCACAGCCGCCCGTGCAGCCTCCACAGCCTTGGGCAGCGCCGCGCGCAGCTCCTCCTCGAACTGGGCGACCTTGGCGAACACGGATGTCTCGGCGTCGAACTCGGCAGCGCCGTTGGCGAGGGCGCGCTCCACGAGCACGTTGCGAAGCTTCTTCATCAGCGGGTAGTTGGTGCTGCAGGGGTCGTCGGCATACGCGAACACCGCCTCGCGCTCGATCTCCTGGAGCAGGTCCTTCTCGCAGAAGCGGGCGACGTGGAGACCACCGGTGGAGTCGGTGCTCAGAGTCTTCTTCGCCACCGTCATCACGCAGCTCTTGACGGCGCTCTTGACGTTCTCCTCGATGTGCCGCAGGTCGACCGCCTGGCACAGGGCGATCAGGAACGTCGAGGACATGAGCTTCAGGATCTCGATGGCCTCTGCGGTCTTCCTGGAGGAGATGAGTCCGAGCGAGTTCACGTCCTGGTTGTGCTGCTCCGCGCTCTGAACGTGGTTGGTGACCGGGTTCCCCAGGAACTGCAGCTCAGAGCAGTAGGACGCCATGGCGATCTCGGCGCCCTTGAAGCCGTAGTCCAAGCTGGGGTTGCGCCCACCGGACAGGTTGGAGGGCAAGCCGTTGTTGTAGTAGTCGTTGACGAGCTCAGAGAACTGCGCAAACATGAGCTTGCCGATGGCTGCGATGGCGAGACGTGTGTTGTCCATGGACACCCCGATGGGCGTGCCCTGGAAGTTGCCACCGTGAAGAGCCTTGCTTCGGGCGACATCGATGAGTGGGTTGTCGTTGACGGAGTTGATCTCGCGCTCAATGGACTTGGTGGCGGCACGGATAACCTCAATCTGGGGGCCAAGCCACTGCGGCGACGTGCGGAGCGCGTACCGGTCCTGCTTCGGCTTCATCAACGGGTCCAGCTCGCCGAGCTTCTTGGCAAGCTTCATGTAGGAGCTGCCCTCCAAGATGTGCTCCATGATGGCAGCAGCCTCGATCTGTCCCGGGTGGTGCTTCAGCTTGTGGGTCAGGTGGTCGGTGTACTCCGGCTTGCCGTTCATGACCTCGCAGAACACGGCGGACAGGACCTCGGCAAGGATGGCTAGGATGTTTGCCTCAAAGAGCACGGTGGAGGCAAGGCCGGAGCCCACGGCGGTGCCGTTCACCATGGCAAGACCCTCCTTGGGCTGCAGCTCGAAGAAGCCGCCCTGGATTCCGGCAATCTTGAACGCCTCTGCGGCGTTCACCTTGCTGCCATCCGGGGCGACTGCAACAGAGTTCTCACGCCCGGTGACGAGGCCGGCAATGTAGGAGAGCGGCACGAGGTCGCCGGACGCGGTGACCGTGCCGCGGAGCGGCAGGCACGGCGTGACGTTGGCGTTGAGCAGCTTGACGATCGCCTCGAGGATCTCGAAGCGGATGCCGGAGTAGCCCTGGAGGAGGGTGTTGATGCGGACGAGCATGGCCGCACGCGTGGCCTCGGCCGGCAGGACGTGGCCGTCGGTGCCGCTGCCGAATGCGCCAGCGTTGAGGAACCGGATGAGCTCCCTCTGGAGAGCGCCGCCCTCCTTGGTCCTCCTGTGGGACGTGGCGCCGAAGCCGGTGGTGACGCCGTAGCTGTCGGTGCCGTTCATCATGCTGTTCATGACCCAGTCGCTGCTGGCCTTGACCCGGCCACGGGCGGACTCGTCGAGCTCGACGCGGGCCTCGCCAGCGCCGGCGGCCACGGCGGCCACCTGCGCGATGCGGAGGCTGGCGCCCTCGATCTTCACCAAGGGCTGGCGGTACTCGGCGACCATCCGCTTCACCTCGTCCAGGTGGCTGCCCATCAGCTCCTCCGCGGCCTTTCCCCAGTTAAGCGGGTCGGCGCGGGGCGTCGCCATGCACAGGGAGTCGCCGTTGGTAGCAGCAACGCGGCCGTTCTCGCACTCCATTGATGTGGGGCTGGGGTTTGAACAGAAGGCACTTGCGCCGTAAATGATTTGGGATCAGAAGTAAGGCGATGGCCTGTTAGTCTGGATGGACAAGAGCTCGTGATGCACTGGATGGTGCTGCTCTTCTTGGAGTGAAACGGAAGGGGTTTAAATACGGAGGGCTGCGTCCGCGCGTCTTGGGGGTTAGTGGTGGCCGCGTTGCAAGTAAAATTTTTGGCGGGGCCGGCGGCGTGGAAAGCGTCGCGATTTCGTTTAGTGGTGGCCGGCTGAGGACGGCTCGGTCGCGCCGCGGGCGGGGTTGGTGCCCCCGGCGCCTGCGCGGGGGTTGGTGACTGGTGTGGGCAGAGCTCCGTCCACCGTGCTCGCTTCGGCTCACCTGCCACGGTACGCTGTTAGTCGTTTCTGTTCTCTGTTTTGGTCTTGCTTTTGCACTGATTTGGGGGATATGATGGCAGCAGGCAGCAGGAAGGCAACCAGGCACTCTGTCGTACTGTGGATGCAATCAAACGCACGCATCAGGCGAGTAGATACCAGTAGTAGTTCATAATGTTTTGAAGGACCATTGGTGTCAGCAACAGTTGCTTCATTTGGCACGGAAAAAGCATGTATATTGATCTTTCTAACGAATGTAAAACCCATTATCTTGGGGGTAGTTAGAGGTTCACTGGGGTAATCGATCACGAGTAAACGGTCAGAGTTAGGGCAGTTGGAACAAAATTTCTACGGAGCATGAGGTTTCGAACGCCTTTGTTTGAAGTTTGAACAGAGACCTGTCAGCTGAAGCATAAGCAAATGTGCTGATTATGAGTCAACGACCCTGCAGGATTCTCCATTTGTTTGGACATATCAGACCAGATACTTGCACGTATTTTGCAACTATATAATCCTTTACTACTCGCTCCATATAATTTCTCACCTGAGTCTCTTGATTTCTTGATCCATCTTCACGCTTTAGTAACCAGGATTCAGAATTTCAACGAAATTTCACTGAAATTTCCCGAATTTCAATAATTTTGGTGGTGGCCAAAAGAAATTACGAAATTTTGTAATACGCTAGTACATGTGCTATATAACTCTAGACTAGATTCATATTTTCTATTGTTTGTGTTATATATATTCTTCTACTCAATAGATACGTTGTCATAAATAAATCATGTCAATATTTGTTTAGATATATATTTTCTTAAAAAAAACATACTTCATGTGCAAGTTCCTAAAAAAAAATTGGTGAAATTTTGGCTGAATTTAACGAATTACCCTAATTTTAGGGGTGGCCGATATTAAAAAAAAACGAAACTGAAAACCCTGTCAGTAACTACAAAGAAGTGACTACAGATGGAGAATTTTTTTTGATTCACGTAATGATGGTTAAACAAATTCGTGAGGCGGCTTCTTGATGCACTACTTTCCTGAAGTTGCCATGGATTCAGTACTTCTGCATCACATGCTCGCCAGTCGCCTCCACGTGATGTACAAGGTGTGTGCGCGAACACCAGCAGGCACTTGGTCCAGTCGTCGTCGGTCGGTCTAGTCCTGTCTTCGAGTCGTCGTCCACTGGTGTTCTTCCGTTTGGTCACCTTCATCTACACTAAACTAACTGATAAATTTTGCTGGAACTTTCACAAGCATGTTTCTTTCAATCGTCCATATACGGAAGTTTTAGAACCGTAGCAGGAGCTGTCACTTGGTTCATTCATGAAGTAGTAGCAACCAGCAGCATAGCAGCACGTGTAGATCTACATCATATTCTTCGACACTACTTCAGCAATACTTTTCGAAAGGAACATTATTTTTCTCTCACAACGAATCACCATCAACATAAGCAAAATTTTAGCGAAACGAACAGGGCCTGTTAGACTGACCAAACTACAGGTCAGTGCTAACATCCTGAACCCTCACAGCGGGCAGCCGGGCAGGCGTGCACTATATATCACCACAAACCACAACCTGACACGCCGGGAATTGTATTCTTCCCCACTCCCTTTCTCATTTGCCTGTTGCACACGTTATTCACACAAAATGATCCGACAGTGCCACAGCGGCCTGCGACGGCCATGCATATAGTGGATCGACCTTTGTTCTTGTTCCCCATGTGGCCGTGCAAACCAGACCACAGAACCAGTGCGACCAATGCAATGGTCCAAATAAAGCCAGAAGTCGTGTGTTTTCACATGGACGTAAACCCATCAAACTTGAGGCCACGATGAGGCCAGGTCTCCCTCCATCTCGTTGCTCGAGGGCTTGAGGCCATGAGAAGGGGCCTCGATCGCGCGCTTATATGCATACCTGGCTATATGAATGTGCGTTTATCTTCGGTGCAGATAGATGCATGGTTAGTTGGTTACATGCACACGACAGTTAGCGAGGAAGTACGGGACCAGCATGCATTTATGTACGGATTGGTGGCTGATGCATGGGCACGGCGGCCCTCATTCTTTGTGTCCTAGCAAGTGATCGATGGCGGTACGCAGAGTGTGAGGCAAAATGCATGCAGCGTCCATGTCAGGGCTTCCTTGCCACACCATACGTGAAGTGCTCAGGTATGCAACGTATGCTAACGGCGTGTTTAGTTCACATCAAATTCTAAAAAAAAGTGCTACAGTAGCCATCATATCGAATCTTGCGATACGTACATGGAACATTAAATGTAAATGAAAAAAACTAATTGCACAGTTTGGTTGAAAATTACGAGACGAATGTTTTGAGCCTAATTAGTCCATGATTGAACACTAATTGTTAAATAAAAACAAAAGTGCTACGGTAGTCCAAATTCTCAAATTCAGGAAACTAAACACGCGCTAAGGTGCTGAGGAAGCAGGCGTGTGGTCCTATATCTGCCGCCACTACCACCTTTTTTTTTTTTTGAGATTGCCACTCCCTGGTGTTAGGTACTACCCAATGAACTGGTGTAGTAATCGTAATCAAGGGGAGAAAAACTAGCATGGCCTGCTAAGCCTCCGTTTAGATCCAAAATTTTTTGGATTTTGGCTACTGTAGTACTTTTGTTTGTATTTAATAATTAGTGTCTAATTATAGACTAATTAGGTTTAAAAGTTTCGTCTCGCGATTTCTCACCTAACTGTGTAATTAGTTTTTTTTCATCTACATTTAATACTCCATACATGTGCCGCAAGATTCGATATGACAAGTACTGCGCAAAATTTTTTAGCGATGGTGCTGACTGCTGACAGATGAGGCGAGAGGCGTAGGTTGGGCCATGTCAGCTGCCAATGCATGTTGGATTTCCTTATTAGTGGTCCTGAGCGAGAGGACACACCAGAAGCTTCGCCAGCAATCCAGCATGGCTACGCATCATGCGCGGTGCGCATACATTTTTAAGCCATCGATGATAAGCTTCAACGTAAAATCACTAGAAGGGTCATCTCTACGGTAAGAACGAGTAATGGTTTGAGGAGCTCATCACCAAAAAATAATACATATAATAAAGACACCTTGTTCGCTTGATCGTATTTGTCATGCTTATCAGCTATGATACAGTGTTTTTCTCTTACAACAGGCTTCCCACAAAATGGTGCAGATGGATGCAGCAGCTTCAGACCACATCACACGGTCCGCGGTTGTAATAAACGGCTGCCCTGGTCCGTGGTTTACCTGCAAGAAAGGACTAAGGCAAGGAGATGCTCCCTCCCCCTATCTATTCTTGTTGGTAGCTGATGTTCTTCAGCGCCGCTACATACAGTTCAATGGAGGAGTCCGTCATCCTCTGACAGATACACTGATTGTGGTTCGTGCTGAGATTCCGGATGTAAGAAACCTGAAAAAGATTCTGGACAACTTTGCATCTGCAACAGGCCTGCACATCAACTTCAGTAAGCCCTTGTTTAGTTCCACCTTAACTTCCAAAAATTTGCTACAGTACCTGTCACATCGAATGTTTGCGGCCCGTGCATGGAACATTAAATGTAGACGAAAAGAAAAACTAATTGCACAGTTTGGTGGAAAATTGCGAGACGAACGTTTTGAGTCTAATTAATCCATGTTTGAACACTATTTACCAAATAAAAATGAACGTGCTACAGTAATCCCAAAATCCAAATTCCTACAGCTAAACACAGCGTAAGAGTACTGCTGTGCCCATACATGTCTCCCCTAGAACCTTGCCTCGAGTCATCCGACTACTGCAGTGCCACTGTGCCAGGAAGCGTCTTTCCCACAAGTCTACCTGGGCTTGCCACTCTCAAATTTGCAAGCCTTTCACTCCACTGATCGCCAAAGTTGATAAAAGATTGGTTGGTTGGCAATCGGCTCTTCTCAGAAAAGCCGGTCGGGTCATCCTCATTAACTCAGTGCTTGACGACCTAGCAACACATTTCATGTCTGCAATAGCTCTGCCGCAGGGTGTTCTTGACCAACTAGAAAGCAAATGGAAAGCTTTTCTTTGGTATGGCAAATCCAAGACTACTGGAGCGTGCTGCATGATCTCCTGGGAAATGGTTCAGAAGCAGCGGTCTGATTGTCTGAAGGAGGACTTGGTATTAAGAGCCTGACAACTGTGAACTCAACTACTCAAGTTTGCTTCTTAAGCTATTACATCGGCTTCACCAGCCTGGTGACTCTTCATGGGCGGCCTGGGCAAGACGCCATGGATACCTTGCCTCCATAGCTGGGGATGTAGATGGAAACCACTGGGATACCATTGAGGGCCACCTCCCAGCATATAGATGCATCACTCGGTCAATGGTGGGAAATGGAGCCTCCACCTCTTTTTTTTATAAGGGTATTCATATATTAATTTAGCAACATATTACAGAAATGGGACAGAATATTCCCCAGTCAATGTTCCGGAGTGCACGCATGGTAGCACAATTCTCATGCGGAACCCAGTTTAAGCATTCAGCCCTGTTTAGATTCCAAAAATTTTCACCCCAAAGTGTCACATCGAATCTTACGGCACATGCATGGAGTATTAAATGTAAACAAAATAAAAATTAATTACACAATTGGGTGAGAAATCGTGAGACGAAACTTTCGAACCTAAT